AATCAACACAGCTAGACTTGTTTAGAATACCAGCAGATAACCAAAAGTTTTCAATGGTTTTTTCTAATGTGATAATTTTCAATTAGTCTTGTTACTTTTCTAGGATCATCTTTCTCTCTCAAAAAGATATTTTCGAAATACAGCTCTATTTAATGGTAGCTTTCTTACTTTAAAAAGATATTTTCGAAATACAGCTCTATTTAATGGTAGCTTTCTTACTTTAAAAAGATATTTTCGAAATACAGCTCTATTTAATGGTAGCTTTCTTACTTTAAAAAGATATTTTCGAAATACAGCTCTATTTAATGGTAGCTTTCTTACTTTAAAAAGATATTTTCGAAATACAGCTCTATTTAATGGTAGCTTTCTTACTTTAAAAAGATATTTTCGAAATACAGCTCTATTTAATGGTAGCTTTCTTACTTTAAAAAGATATTTTCGAAATACAGCTCTATTTAATGGTAGCTTTCTTACTTTAAAAAGATATTTTCGAAATACAGCTCTATTTAATGGTAGCTTTCTTACTTTAAAAAGATATTTTCGAAATACAGCTCTATTTAATGGTAGCTTTCTTACTTTAAAAAGATATTTTCGAAATACAGCTCTATTTAATGGTAGCTTTCTTACTTTAAAAATGGAATTATAAGTACATTAGTAATAACTAAAAGTACAAAATATATTCTTGGAATTAGCATTCAAATTATTTTATGTTTGTATACAAAAAAGAATAAAAAAAGTAAAAAAAAAAAGATGTTTTCAAAACCAAGAAAGTTCAGAGAAAAAAATTGTTGCATATTACCCTTAAAATTTGTTTACACTTGCAGCTTCTTTTATTTACTATAACATTAAATTATTTTTCAATTTGAGTTGGCTCATAATCTCTAAAGTTATTATACCATGAAATTCAAAAGTCAATAATCTCTCATTAAATGAGCTGCAGGTGCAAAAACATTTCCTTAACAGTTTAATAACGGGTCATAACTAAAAAACGGTAGTGATTTTGGTTTAGGTTGCAATCTTACTAGTTTGTAGTGTTTTCAATTCTCTACAAAACTTGTTTTATTTGAAATTAAAATATTTTATTGTTACAGAGAAAAATGAAAGAAAAACATGAAGCCCATTGAGAACGTTTGTACAGCTTTTATTTGAAAAATTGATCTAAAGGGAAAAGTTTACAGTTGATCACTTTCTCACTGAAAAATTTCTGTTAAGACCATCTATACCATTATTCGACGTGCTGAAAATAATTCTGGGGCATTAAAGATTTCCTAGAAGCGGTAGGATTGCTAAAATAATAACAAAAAGGAACATTGAAAGACTTGAAACAATGTTTGACCACAAAGACGGTATATCACAACACAAGCAGCTTGGAAATTTAAGTGCACCCAAGTATATATCAGCAAAACATTAAAAACAAAGTCCTAAATCAGGCCAAGAAAGAAGAAAAAGATTCCGTTAGGAACCAAATAGAAACATTTCAAACAAAGTGCTGTCAGCTGTATCGAAATTCTGCCAATAAATTGTTAATCTTTGACGACGAGTTGTACTTCACACTTATTACATTAGTTTGTTAAACATTGGTTTATTAAACATTAATGTTTAACAAACCAATGTTTAACTACCAATGTTTAACAAACCAGTATTTAACAAAACAAAAAAAGACAATTACTCAAAAAATGACTTTTGAAATAAGAACAAGAACTGACCAAATAATAAAAATGAAGACAGAGTCACTTATGCAGCAAATATAACATTTTTTTGTTATGGCATCAAACTTGCATATTATATTTAAAGGTTTGATAATGTTTTTGAGGTATTTACAATCAGCATTGAGCCATCATCAGTAACTATTGGACATTAATGACTTGCATAAATGTATAAATATTGAATGCAACATTAAAAATTGAACATTATAATATATAGACATCAAGTAAGTTAAATTGTCTGAAACAGTTGAACTTATTTGTTGTCTATATATTATAATATTTGTCATATAATATGTATTATAAATTTTAAAAAAGTTGCATCTTTTTTAAATTTATAATACATATTATAAATTATTATATAGTAAATATTTAAAAAGTCTGCTTTATAAACTTTATTCCTTTTTTTTTAAATATAGTCTCAGAGTAGTTAGAATTAAATAATTCAAGAGTAAATTTTATATCATACAAATGATCATAAAAAAAACTCTCCTAAAAGTAACTAGAGAACTAGTAACTAGAGATTCTGCAATAAAATTAACCAAAAAACTCAACAGATTGAAATTTTAACAGACCATAAAGAGAATCATTTTCAGCTTCTTTATTTTGATAAATATCTTCTGTATTTAAAACTAAAGAGTTGAGTGATGTAATACTGTTATTTGACAATGTTTCTGTACAAATACTTGAGAGAGTTGTTTGAAGAGTTGTAGAGAGATAATTTTCGGTAGATGTAACCTAAAAACGTCATAAAAGTAAACAATTAAATAAATGTGTAACTATTTAATAAGAAAATTTTTAAAGTTGATTTTACTTACAGATGATACTGCAATGCTAGATTGAACTGTAGACTCAAACAAAGAAACACCTGTGGACTGTTCTGGACTTAATTGAAGAGCCGAAGAAGCATGTACAGATTCTTGACAAGATAAGATAGCTGAATTTCTTTCTAATAACCAGAGTTATATAAATATATTTTATAGATTAAAAAAAAATCTAACTTTAAAAAAACAAAAAACAGATGGTCTAAAAATACCTGGAGAGCTTTCTTCAGTGTCAGTGATTACTTTTCTTTTTTTATTATGTTTAATTACAACGCGGTTACTAAGGTTACTAGATTCTGAACTGGAACTGAGAGCTGAACTGCAGCGCTTTAGAGTAGATAAATTAATTAATTTTAGTTTTAAAGCTTTTTCTTCTTTCTCATTACTTTCTTTCTTTTCACAAATATAATGTTGTTCTTCATTTGGCTTAAAAAAATTTGTGTCAAGTATTAAATTTTTTATTAATATTTGTGATTATTTAGTTGTTATTAAAAAAACAAAAACTCTTAAGAAATTAATTATGTTATGTGCAATTATGTCATTTTATTTCCTTTTTTTTTTTTTTTGAACATTTATATTTTAATATTTATCATTTATCGTTAACTTTAATTACATCTGCAATATTATTTCAAAAGTATCTTGATAAATTCAACTCACCTAGTTAAAAGTTTAACCATAAAAGTACACTCAACTTGTTAAAAATTTTAACGTGAACATTAGCCAATCATAATTTGACTCTTGTAAACAAACTTTATTTCCAGAATGTTTTAAATGGTCCTTAAAATGTTTCATTAATAAAGTTTTTGTTTTATTTTGGATGATTTTTTATATCATACCACGTTTTTTCAAGTTTTCGAACAATCAGACCTAATAAATGGTTAAAAACTATTAAATTTATACTTGCGCTATGACAAAGAACTTGAGCTTGTTTATTAATATTGACTGCAGGTATTCATTTTTTTATTTCATTTGTTAAGAGCTGGAACTTCAAAATATGTAATTGTGTAAATGTTTTACAAAGTACAAGTTTTATAACTTTATAAAAAATTCAATAATAAGTTAAAATTTAATAATAAATTCCTTGTTTTATGCATGCTGTGGTAAAAGTGATATAGTAAATATATATTTTTAACTCAAATAAAATGCATATATCAAGAAGTCTTTGCATGTCAAGTAAAATGCATAGTAAATATTGCTATTCAAAATTGCTGATTACCTAGAGACAAGTATAAAACTTGTCTCTAGGTAATTGAAATAAGCTTATATAGTTAAAAGTATATAGTTCTTTCATTTTTTCTACCAACTTACTTAAATAAAATTAAAATTAAAAGGTTGCTTTAGATTGCAAAAGACTTAATGGTCTTTGAATGCAGTTTTTTTTGTTTTTTTTAATTTTCATTTAGATGCCCCAAGAAGTTCTTACGGTCTAATCACAGAGCACCGCAGAAGAGCATTTATTATGGAAGTTCATGTTGGGATGTTGGGTTTGCAGCTGTTAGTAAAAAATCCCTATCAAGAAAGACTTTTATAACTCCTTGAGAAGTTCAAAAAAACTAGTGATGTATCATCACAACATTTCTCTGAAAGTGAAATGAGTGTTGATGAAGACCTGGATGCTACTGATGCTAACTCTGACAATGATAATGAGGTTGATAACCTTACACAAAAATTTAAAAATAAGTCTATCAGTATTTCAAAAAATTTCTCCATATATTGATTAGTCCCCTAAATCCCAATATATGAGAAATAAAATGTTAATAATACTGTTAACAATACTGTAGAGACAGAATATTAGAACTGTCTTTGTTAATAAGACTTTCCGAATATCAATGGAACTAACCTCTGATATAAAATACAAGATTTAGCAATCTAAAAATAATGGATCTTAACATTAGACCTGTTTGCATTAATTTATTGCAATGATAGCTATTTATTTTCAAAAAAAGATGAAAAAATTAATTACTATCAGAAATAGTAGCTACACAAGAAGCTGCACTTAAAACATATAAGAAAAATCTCCCATGTTTTCCTGAATTTAGAAAACTAAAATTAAAATAATAAAGACACAAAGATTAGGCACAGCCATTATGCATTTCAGCAAATATGTCTCAAAAACAGATAAAACCAAAACAGAATTATTTTATTCTAGGTCAGAACTTTCAGGAAAAGTTTATAAAAAGAGTTTTAAAGTTTTGTAAAATCTGATAAAATTGTTGAATATATTAATTACAGCTTATTAATTTCAAGTAAGGGTTGAAATTAAAACAGAGGGTTATTTAAATCCAAAAACATGGTAAAGAAACATTTTATGCACTTAAGTTATGTTGTTTTCAATTTTTGAGCAATTTTCTTAGCAAAATTTTGTTTTAACTATTTTGTTAAATTTAATTTTGTTTTAAGGCAATTTTCTGTCTTAAAGTAATTTCCACTTTCAATGATGATGATGTTTTTGAAAAACTGTTACTGATTTTGGAGCTTAACTTCAATGCATAATGCAAACATTATCAACAATAACAAAAACAAAAAAAAACTCTCATATAAATATTAACCACTCTATATCCAAATTAGTCATAAAAAAATTATAAAACTCCATAATGAAAATGCACTTAAAGAAAAAAGTTTAAACTTTTAAAAGACATTCACCTAGAAAAACTTTTAATATGAAAAATTTGTAATACTTACAATATCCCACTCAAGTCTTTGTTGCTCGCCTAATTTAAAAAAAAATTAAAAAAATAAATAAACATAAAATAATAATAATTAACTCTTAGAGCAAATAATATATATATATATATATATATATATATATATATATATATATATATATATATATATATATATATATATATATATATATATATACAGTATAGGACAAAACAAGTGCAACCAAATAATGCTAATTTAGTTTCTTTATATAAAAGTGCTGCATTTTTTCAATTTAGAGAAATAACTATTTAACTGTTTAGAGACAACATTCTTCAAGTTTTATTCATCACAAAGTTCATTATTTGTACATGAAAATTAATAAATTAATCAAAAGTAATATAAAAAGTTGATTTCCTTCTGGACAAAACAAATGCAACTCCACAAAATGTTGACCAAGCTGTATTTCGCTATAAAAATTTCATGGCGAATCCTTTATTGTCGATCACAGCTTTGCATCTTCGAGACATAGATTCGATCAGGTGATCAATGAAACTTTGAGGAGTCGCTGCCCAGGTCTTTTGGATTTGTTGAAACATTTGATCATTATTACACCTTCACGATTAATTCTGCGGTTGACGATCGCCCACAGGTTCTCGATAGGGTTGAGATCCTGAGATTGAGGCGACCAATCCATCACCGATAGGTGGTTGTCTTAGAACCACTGCTTGACTCTTTTTCTAGTGTGTTTCCGCTCGCTGTCTTGCTGAAAAACCCATTTTATTGGCATATTCCATTCAGCATGAGGTAGTATAACATCTTTCAGGGTATTTTTATACATGAAATAGTCCATTATTCCATTGATTCGATGTATTGGACCTGGACCGTTAGCAGAAAAACACCCCTAAACCATTACATTGCCTCCACCATGCTCAACGGTCTTATGGCAGAAAAATAAATCAAGGAGTTTTCCAGCCAGTCCATGTACACAGCAAATGCCATCGCTCCCAATGATGTTGAACTTCGATTCACCACTGAACAGGATAGTCTATATGAGATGTAGCAATTAGGAGTCTTTTCTTCTGGTTCTTTAGTAAAATCAGCGGTTTCTTTTTAGGGCGTCGAGAAAACAATCTGGTTTCAATAGCACGTCGTCTGATTGTTCGGTCCAATACAGGCAGCTCTACTTGATGAGCTCTAATCTCAACTGATGATATCCAGGGAACTTTCTTGACGGATCTGACGATCCTAGAATCCTCTCTAGAAGTGATGGAACGCGGTCTTCCACCTTTGTTATCTGCTGCTGACTTCTCCATAGAACGATATATATATATATATATATATATATATATATATATATATATATATATATATATATATATATATATATGCATATATATATATATATATGCATATATATATATACATATAAATATATATATACATAAATAAATTGTAAAAAATTATTGATCTATATTTTTCAAGTCTTTGATAGTTATGGTATAGTATTACGTAAATATTCAAACAGTTTTAAAAATATTTTTTATCTAAAGTAGTCTTTTTGTTGTAGCTTTTTTTGCTTGAACTATCAGGATTGCTTAAAGGTTTGTCTGAAAATACATCTTATAATGCTGTCTGCACAGACAAAGGGCTTTCTTATCAATGTTTAGTTAATATGTTAGAGCAATTCCAATAGTATATATAAATCTTGCTTGAAATGAATTTTGGCATTCTATAATTACTTATGTACCCACAAAAAAAGTTAACTAACGTAACAATTAGTTTCTGAGCACTTAATAAGTTCAATTGTATTGCTTGTAATGAATAAGTAAAGTGTTTCCAATATTGCAATAATGCAAATGTAAATCACAAGACATACCACAAAAGTTGACAAGAACGCAGTAACTGGTGGGAATTTCGTTACATTTCCCTATTGTTGTTAGTTGTCAAATTTTGTAACTGATTGCAAATTTTCTCAAATTGTTTACCAAAAAAACTACATGGCCCACCATTTGTGCTTTCTCAAAAATCTTAATGATAGTTTTGATTACAATAATTGCATTACACACTAGCACAACTAAAATGAGTCTGTTTAACCTATAGCTTTCATGAGGGTGTAGGTGATTTCAGCTTTTTTTTAATAATACGGCACTTTGCCCGCTTAAAGTGATTTGGAGAACAGAAAGCAGGATAAGAGCAGGATAGCCTGACGAGCAGAACTAAACTTAAATGCTGTGGAAATCCATTATTTCAGTTTTAATCGAGTACAAAAGCTTTAATGGCTTTTTATGATGTGAATGTGTTAGGTAGGCATATGCTAATAAGCGAGAGCCAATTGTTGGGAAAGTCTACTCAGCTTCAAAAACCTGTCGAAAATAATCATTTATTGTATTGCAAATTACTTAAGGTTCTGTTATTGTTTGACTATTGTGTTTTCACATAAAATAAAGAAAAATATTACATTCTATGCAAAATTATTGAGAAAAGTCGTTGAAGACTAGTGAACAAAATCTTAAGCCACCAGTTGTAAAAATTTATATAAAAATTTTTACAACTGGTGAACTGATGATTTTACAACTGGTGAACTGAAGATTTATAATAAATCAGGTGTGTAGACAGTTGTTACATGAAGCAAAAAAAAGAATTTATTTGATTTCAAAAATCCAGGGTGGGACATCTTTGACCTAAGCTGCGAACACCCATGTGTGTGTGTTTATATATATATATATATATATATATATATATATATATATATATATATATATATATATATATATATATATATATATATATATATATATATATATATATATATATATATATATATATATATTAGACTCACTTTCTAAAATAATAAATAAAGAAGACTTTGGACTATATTATGACAATCATCTGATGGTACTATGGTACTTCATAAAAAAACTGGATCACAAATTGATAGCATACAAAAAAACATAATTAGAGTTAAAAAAATGATTGGTTTTAAAATAGAAAGCAAAACAAACCCACCTGCAGTCAACTTCTTAGATGTATCCTTTAACTTAAAAAAAAACTCCTACCAACCTTTCAAAAAACCAAATGGATATCTATTTTACATTCACACTGATTCCAACCATGCTTCGCAAATAATAAAGCAAATCCCTATCTTTATCAATGACAGATTATCACAAAATTCCTCAAATAAAAAAACATTTATTTTATCTATACCAGAATACGAAGATGAATTAAGTAGAAATGGCTTCACTAGTTTTAATTGAAAGTATAATCCCAAAAAAGGGAAAAGAAAAGAAAAAGAAATATAATATGGTTCAACCCCCCGTATAGTAAAAGCATTTCTACCAATGTTGGACATATCTTCCTAAACTAAATCGACAAATATTTTCCAACATCCTACCCTTAAGTAAACTATTCAACCAAAATATCGTCAAAGTGAGTAACAGCTGGACCAAAAATATTGAAAGAATGATAAAAAGCCACAACAAGAAATTCAGGTCAGAAAAACCAAAAGAATACCCACCCTGCAATTGCAAAAATAAAGAAAAACTGCCCTATAATAGGAAAATGTAGAACCTCTAATGTTATTTATAAATGTATAGAATCTTTACAACCCTCCCCCCACCCCCAACACTACAGAAAAAGTATATAATGGCCTAACAGAAGGTGAATGGAAGAAAAGATGGGCTAACCACAAACACTCATTCACAAACAAAAAGATAAAAAATTCAACCACCCTTTTAAAGTATAAATGGCAGATATAAAAAAACTTAAAAAAAAAAAACCCAAATTAACCTAGTCAATAATTAAACAACTCACAGCCTACAGCAACGCAACAAAAAAATATATGCTTTGTCTTCATGAAAAACTTTGACTATCATACACAGATATACATGAATTATTAAATAAATTAACATAAAAAATATGTAAGTGCCGTCAAAAAAACAAGTTCTTGCTTGGCAACCAAGAGCCCAAAGATTAACAAACCAAACCATGGCCGCAAATAGTAACAGTTTTGCAATTGTTTTTGAGCGTCACAATGTTTATTAAGAGTATATTTTTTAAAGAAAATAACAATGTAATTTTTTACCTGATGATTGCTAAACTTTTAGTAGCAAAATTTATGTAGTTACTTTTATTTATTCTTGTCAAAAAATCATAGATATATTCAAGTATATGATTTTCTTTTTTCTTTATTTAATTTTACAAGTGCATCAAGAATTAAACATGTTTGAAAAAAATAAATATAAAAAAAGTTTTTCTATATTTCTATATCTAAACATAAATACAGTTTTGATATTTATTGAAATTTTGATCTAATTTTGTTAGCAAAAAATAATATAGAATTAGGCATGCACAGAAACACATCATTGCCAGTTCATTTGCCTGACTATTTTAAAGAGTTAATCTTGCCAGTTAAACCCGTTTATTGAGGATACCAGTGATAAGAGGTTATCATTGATTCAGGTAATTTTTTTTTAAATTCTTAAAATATTCAAAACAATTTTTTGAATTAAAGAGTCAATGTTTTTTTTTAATATGATTTGTTTAGTATTATCATAAAACTTGTTAAATTAAAACTCATGGCTTGCTGATGTGCTTAAAATGCAAAGATTTCTTTGCAAAGAGTTATAAAATCAGACAACAGTAAAAATGTGGTAAAGATTCTTGACAAGTCTTAATACTTTCTAATGCAATTGGGGCATTAGTTATATAATATTCTTTAGACAATGATTATAAGTTTAATATTTTAAATGTTTTAAATAATGAAGAATTTAGCATGCTAGCAAAAAATGATGGCATTATATTCATGATGGGATCTTGCTTGTAAGGTAAAAATTAAAAAAAAGTTTGATAAAACTTAGAGGTTAGGAAGTCGGTACTCAATGCATTGACTTACAAACATTAAAAAAAAATTTGCACTGGAAAAAAAAAGAATATACTGCTAACATGTTAACAACTGAGTAACGTATTTTAGGTGATATGTTTCTGAGAGAAAATATTGACCATTTAAAAAATGCAATTAACAATTTTACAGTTGAAGATGGTGATAAGATAAAATCTGGTTTAAAAAACAGCATCTATCATTTACATATAGACTAAGCTGAGAAATGTATTGGATTACTAAAAATTAAATTGTGATGATTTGTCTAAAGAGTTTTCAAATGTTTTGTATATATTTGGCCTTATGAAAAATAAGACTTTTTCAGACGCTGTTTATGATTTTAATAAACATAGAAAAGAAAAAACATAAAAAACCTGCACAGCTTTCAATGGAAAAAGATATTAAACTATAAAAATCATGTTGTCACTACTATGAGAAAATTGACTCGCAAGTACGAAATAATTGATTGCATATTCCTTTATTCATTTAAATGGTACAATATTTAATGGTAAGTGCGATGTACAAAGAAGAGATACACTGAAAATCTATTAGAAAGTAAAATGAAGATTACTTATTTTTCTGGAAAAGGGGTTACTCGTTTAGTCCCTGTGTTAGTTTCAACTGATTTAGTTTAAGCAATCAAATTGTTAGGTTCAGCCAATATTAGAAAATAGGTTAGAGTTTCACTAAAAAACATGTTTTTCCTAGTACCCAGTTTCCACTTTATCACTGCTTTAGATAGCATAGTCTAAAAAATATATAATTAAGCAACTTAACTTGATGAATCAAAAATTACTGGTACAAGCAATCGCCATTATCTTTCTACACTAATGACCATTTAAGGAAAGTTCAATAAAATTTACACACGCCATTTGTTCATCCACACTTAGAAATTTCCCATAAGGACATTGATAAACTTAAAACATACAATGTAAAGCTAAAGAAATGGCAGACTAAAGAAATTTAAAGTGACCACTTAAAAAAAAAACAAGAGATGACATGATTGGATATTATACAATAAGCAGAAACATGGATAAAGTTCAATAGAGTCATTCTCCTAAAATAACTAAGTAGCCAATAACAAGAGGCCATACACAGAAAATACAATAAACAACTTACACGCTCTATGAAAGAATTAACTTCTTCACATACAGAATAGTTAACAAATGGGATAGTTTGACAAAAGAGATGATCAATTCAGATAACAAAAACATTTCAAGAACAAGTTTGATTGTTTTGAAAACAAACAAAATTGAATAAAAATTTAATTAAAAACAAACTTTATTTTGTAAAGACTTTCAAAGCTCAACTGATAATGATGAAAATGATGATTAGTGCAATTATAGTTAATCTTGATATTGACTCATGCAATAAAATGTTTTGAAAGATTTTTGAAAAGCAGATCACTTCTTCAGATCACACAAAATCTATCACTTACTTATAGACTAAGCTGAGAAATGTATTGGAATGTATTTTTTGTATTTTTTGTAAATGTATTTTTTGTCAATCATATTCTTGCATTTTAACCTACATTTTTACCAAAGTAAAAATGCAGGTTGAAAAAGTAGTTTCCAAATTTATTAGTGGTTGCTTGAAAATTTGTTGAAAGTAAATTTGTTAAAAAAAAAGCAAAAGGAAATAAAAAAATATGTATTTTTAAAAATGAATCTTTCACTCAGGCTTTTAATGCATTAAGTCACAAAGTGAAGTTTGGGAGGGTAGTTTTTTAAAATAATAATATTATAACAAAAAATAATATATTTTAGACAATAAAAAAAAAGAAAAAACAAAACAGAAGAAAATTAAAAATAAAAAGACGTATTCTTAAACAACCTTTAGGATCCTTTAAACTATAGCAACAAACTCCAAAATTAGGATGAGTAATTTTTTTATCAATAACCCAATCACTTGTTGTGCTTTTGTTTTTTGAGCTCTTTGGGTTCAAAAAATAATTGTATAATGGTTCAAGACGTGTAGTTCCTTTATATACCCACTCTGATCTTTTGTCAATATCAAATAACACCTTAAAAGTTAAAAAATATTAATAGTCATACAGTGTTTTAAATTTGAATAAAATAAAATTTTCTGAACAAACCAAACAACATACAAAAAATTAACCTATTAATTTATTTTTAATAGAAAAAAAAAAGAATAACAAAAAAAAAAACCTTTATTAAGGAACCATCTACAGAAATAACTTTTGATTTCCACCTAAATAAACCATTTCAAGTTATGTTATTAAAAAATAAGTTATAAAACTTCAGACTTGCACCAAAAATAACTAAAATTTTTCTTAAAACTTTTCTTAGAAATTTTGTTGTTTCAGCCAACAGCAATGAACTGCAATAATCTATATATTAATAAAAGATTTTAACACAAACATTTTAATACTAATATTTTATCACTAATATTGTAACACTAACATTTTAACACTTATATTTTAACACTAACATTTTAACACTAACATTTTAACACTAACATTTTAACATAAATATTTTAACACTAACATTTTAACACTAACATTTTAACACTAACATTTTAACACTAACATTTTAACACAAACATTTTAACACAAACATTTTAACACAAACATTTTAACACTTATATTTTAACACTTATATTTTAACACTAATATTTTAACACTAATATTTTAACACTAACATTTTAACACTAACATTTTAACACTAACATTTCAACACTAACATTTTAACACTTATTTTTTAACACTTATATTTTAACACTAATATTTTAACACTAATATTTTAACACTAACATTTTAACATAAATATTTTAACACTAACATTTTAACACTAACATTTTAACACTAACATTTTAACACTAACATTTTAACTAACATTTTAACACTAACATTTTAACACTGACATTTTAACACTAACATTTTGACACTATTATTTTAACAAACATTTTAATACTTATATTTTAACACTAACAGCAGCCAACATAATGCATGATGTCTAAAATTTCAGACAAAATTTATTTTGTCAACATGGTTTGAATAAATATTTGGAGCAAATAAAAAAATTTTGTAAAGAAACTTATAGGTTTTATAAATTTGTATTTATTGCTTTTTAATAGTTAAAGGCTATTGAAGAGTATTTTGTCTTGACGAACCAGTTCAGTATGCATGTTGTTTGCCACTACAGGACCCTTTTTTTTAATAATACTCAATGGATGCTTGATTAAGAAATGTTTTATGGTTTTCAATTACCCTCGTAGACACTTATTCACAGAAGTGCCCAAAACTTCTCAATAAACTTATACCTTTGCATATCACAATAGATTCTGGTGTATTTGGAGGATTTTAAAATGTTGAATCATAATTGATGTTTTGTAATTCTAAAAAATAAATGCTGTTTGCATCATGAGAACCCACAATAAAAGGCTGAATTATTAGTAATAAGTAGTGTCCATATTTTTATGCCATTTGATAAAGGGTATTAGGCAGATTTAGAGAACTTTAACGTAGCTTTGAATATTAATGGCTTAGCCATTAATATTCAAAGCTACATTCAATTTACCATAATGGTTTTAATAATATTCAATTTATCATAATGGTTAGAATAACTTTAAGTGATATAATCACAAAAAAAAATATTTCTTAATTAAAATTGCAAATCAAAAAAAAAAAAAAATATACCATGAACCATTCCACTCAGTTTGCATTGCGCATCCTATTTTTGCATTGAGAAGTGGTCTCTAAAAAGAAGTAATACTATTTTTTAGCTATTAGAAAAATGTAATTCTTAAAACCCTTTTAAAAATTAAAAAAATTCAACATATTATATTTAATACAGTTACCTATTTAAAATCCAACTGGTCACTAAAGCCTAAGGGACTAGTGGCCAGACTCTTTTTTATTATTTTTAGTATTTCTTATTCGTTATTACACCCTTCTCTCACTCCTATAACATACTTTTTATTGTGTGTTGATCAACACATTGATAACATTTGTAAGTTAAAAATGCAATCAGTTAACCATTATAGACACAAGCATACAACAATTTAAAATAATCAACATAAACCTTGAAAACAAAGCCAAAAACATAACAGGTTAAGAATCTTAATTCATCAATATGACTAAAACAAAAGTTAAACCAAGCATGTAATACATTGGTGAAACAGAGTTTTAACTATATAAATTGAAGTATTGATAATTTATTTATTTTGGCAAAAGATGGCAAATTTTTTAAGAATTTTAAGTTTTCAACATTTAGATCAAAAAAATCATATTGCTGAAAAAAGAAAAATGGTTTGTAAAATAAAAGTTAACATTTGGATCAATGCTAGAAATCATATTATAATAAAAGCTGGTTTGCAAAATAAATATTAACATTTAGATCAATGCTAGAAATTATAATGCTAAGAAAAGGAAAATGTTTTGTAACATAAATGTTAACATTTAGATTTAAAAAAACATATTGCTGAGAAAAGAAAAATGGTTTCTAAAATTAATGGTAGTATCTAGATCAATGCTAAAAACCATATTGCTAAGAAAAGAAAAATAGTTAATAATCTAAGCATCTTAAAACAATTTCATCTTATTGGTACCACTATATTTTTATTGGTACCACCATATTTTCATTGAACTACCAAATTTTTATAGGGACCACCATATTTTTATGTTTAAATCAATTTTGACTTTAAGCAACGATGTATTGAACAAGTATTAACTGTTCTCTATTTTTAATGATATATTTGATATTTTGTTCTAAACTAGGGATGTATCTGAAAAATGATAATTACACTAATGATCAAAGAATCTTCTATTGAACCATACTTTGACAAAAAAAAAAAAAAAAGTACGGAAAGTTTTAACATTTGATAACATGGTTTGTTTCATACAATAATTTTTTATCATTAATAATTTTTTGGTTTTGTCATAGAATCATAACGTTTCATTGAACCACAAGCTCAACTTGAGTCTCTTGGA